GAGTTGCCTTGGTCATAGTGTCTCTTCACTGTTCAGTGACTAAGACAGTATCAATTCTCAGAATGGACCCTGGTGCCATCCATTCACTTTGGAAGTCACTCCTTGTTTATCCAAAGAGCTAGGACACAGTCCTACCTAAGTGGCAGCTTCTGGGCAGGCCAGAAGCCACTGGCAGAGTGTGCTGACCTGAGGTAGACCCTGCCTCGGAAGGCACCACCCAGTGTTTCTTCCAAGCCTGGCAGGACTTGGCTCCTCTGTCCTCCGTGCTCAGTGGCTGGGCACCTGTACACACATAGCCATTCTTAGCCACCCCATCACCTTCTCCTTCAGGTTTGGGGCACAGATGTTTACAGCAGGTTGATGCTGTCAGTGGTTAGATGCTTCTAGGATCTATAACCCTCTGGCTGTGCCAGGGGGATTCAAAGAGCAGGATGCTCTTTGACAGAGCCAGGATGCTGCTGGCTTCTAAAGTCAGGTCCGTTCTTGGCTCTGCCCACAGCCGTGGAACAGCTAGTCCTCTGTAACCACATGGGATTGGAGTCCTGCCAAGGACACAAAATGGTTCTGGTTTCTGGGAGAATTTTTGTCTTCAGGAAAACTGCATAAAGGTCGGACCCAGCGCTGCACTGGCAGCATTCCAGACCTTCCATGGCCTGCAAGATGGCCACCAGGTCCAGCATCATTGTACTCTGTATTGATTCCCCACTGGTAGACTGGCTTCCAGGTGAGATTAGGACAAGGAGGCTAGAGGCCATGACCTTGGACCTGAGGGCTGAGGCATCAGTCACGGGGAAGCTGAGCCGGAGACATGGATGGTAGTACCCTGGACCTGGGGTAGATGATCCCCCAGGGAGCCACCTGAGACGGACCCCCACCAACAGGAGTTGGGGTCCCTCAGGGGCAGGTCCACCCACAGTGTTTCAGGTAGAGAGATTTACACCCCAGAAACTGGGGGACTCACCATGAACAGCTATGGATCAGCTGGTAGGGGAATGTCAGCACCCTCAGGATAGAGTCTTAGGAAGAAAGGTGAGGCCCAAGCTGTCCTCTAGAGGTTGGGATGGGAGGGAGTTCCCCCCTCCTCCCCTTATCCCCCACAAAGCCTCCTGTCTATACCCCCTCTGCAGAGACAGGAAGACAGTGCTGGCTGTGGCCTTGGGAGGAGGCTCCTGGAGTGCAGAGGATGGAGCTGAGCATGGCTAGCGATGGCTACCAGGAGGTGGCAGGGTCTGGCTCTTCTTCCTCATCCTCTGTGTCAGCTCTGAGTCCCTCGATTTGTAGTCTGGGCCATAGGCTTCCCAGCAGGGCAGCGTGAAGGTTGACGTGTGTCTCCTGTGCCACAAATGGACACAGCAGTCCATTTATCAGGGACCCAAAGCCATGGGTGCTAAGTACAGAGGCAGACCAGGTCCAGGTCACCATCGGGTGTGTAGTGACCCCGGCTGTGACCTAGTCCAGGTCATCTTTGGATCTGTAGTGACCCCAGCTGTGCTCACTGTGTCTTTGTGTTCAGAAATGAAAGCTTTAAAAGCTGTGACGGGTGTTTAAAGCAGAGCCACACTGACCATCCACCATGTTTGGAGACCTGTCCTCAAGACTTTCAGTGAAGGAGATTGCTTTACTGAGTTGTTACTGAGAGTAGTGTGCCTGCTCAGGAAGGGATGAAGCGCCTTTCCTCTAGAATTTGGGGTTTAGCCAAGGAGACAATAGGTGGGCAATGGGTGCTGGTACTGAGACCATGTGGGTCAGGCACAAGGTGGCAGAGCCTTTGCACACAAGGTCACAATTTCACTGCACAAGGAGTTGGAACACACTCAGTGTGTTGAAGTGGGAGACCAGTGACCCTTCAGTAGAACACGCAGGCTAGGGTCACGGGGTTGGAGACCCATGGAACTGGGAGCCCCCCTGGGCCACACCAAAAAGATTGTTAGCCACAGGGATGACAGAGAACAGCCACAGGATGGTACACCCCAGAGGAAACGAACACCCAGGCTGTTTTTGGCAAAGCAAGTTCCCTGAGCTGAGCCTCATCTGGGAAGATGGTGGAATGGTTTCTGTGAGGCTGGCATAGGGAAGAGCTGCTGGCAGCCTGCATTCTTCCCACTAAGGCACCTAGAACCTTCACGCACCTCAAGTATGCCCTTGCCCCAGCCCAAAAGACTCTCAGAAGTGGGCCTTCCCTCCCTCCTCCCTCCATCCCTCAGGAAGACAGGTGCCTATCACCTCTTTGAAGTGTGTGCTCTGCATTCCCCAAAGCTGACTTTAGCCTCTAGTCACTGTACTACCCCGTAGGGGAAAAGTTTGAGGACACCACACTCCAGCTCAGAAAATAGGCACAGAGAGCATGGCCTCAGCCCTCAGCAGTCAGAGCTGGGAAGGGCTCTGCTATTTCTGGAGAACCCCATATTATGTTCTAGAAAAAACCAAGAGCATTTGCGTGAGGAGCTGCCACTGTTTCTCTCGCGGCTCCTGCAGACTGAGGAGTGTCACACGGTGTGCCAGACAGCATTACCGCAGGGCAGCACTGTGAGCTGGGACTAAATGGCTCCCTGAGTCTCTCCACCCCCATCTTTGCTGCTACTTCTAGGTGTGATGAAGCCTAGGTTCAGAGACATTAAGCAGCTTGGCCAGCATCACATAGCTTGGTAGTGATAGAACAGGACCTGAACTGGGGTAGTGTGGCTGCAGAGCCACAGCCCCCACACCTCTGAGCGTGGAAAGCCCTTTTGATGAGGGACTAATAAAGTACCAAAGGGGTGGAGAGAGAGGGAGAACCAAGGAGAGGCGATTAGCTCCTGCAGTGACCCAGGTCTTCTGAGGCAGCAGAAAGGAGAAAAATTGCAAAAACTGAGAAAGAAAGGCAGGCTGGAGTTGCGGCTGCTCGCCTGGGCCTCCCTGCCAAGATCGCTCTCTGCTTTGTGAGTGTGGGTAGAACAGCCACCAGATGCAGCCTTGGCTGTCCCAGACTGCCATGTCCCCAGGATGCAACTCCTCGGGGACCCTCACCAGACTCCCCACCAGTTCCTCTCTCGGTCTCAAGACGCCCAGCTCTCCCAGTCCCGCCATCTCTCTGCCTCGACAGCTGAGCGCTCCCGCGTCGGAGCTCAGAATGAGCCATTTCGGCTTGGGGGCCAGATGCATTTTTATATCTGCCTGGAAAAAAAAAAATGGTAGGGGCTCTGCCGGCAGTCAAGAGAGGCTTCTAAATGAAACTTAAAAAAAACAGTGGTGGGGGGAGCTGCACCTGGCCCTTCTCAGGCAGAGCAGAGAACAAAGCAGGGAAACCTTCCCTCCATTGGCCATGCATCCGTTTCACACTCCCCTCCCACCTCACCCCTCCATCCCCAAGCACTCCCGTCCTTCCAGATTCTGTTTGTCTAGAGCAGACACTGGGTGCCGCCTTCCTTGCTTACCGTAAGTCCTGAAGCCTCTCCACGACGGGGCATGACCCACCTGGGACAGTGACTAGCCCAAGGTCCTGGCCCTGCTTCCCACGTTCATCCGGCAGCTTACACAGCAGAGGTGCACCACCCGGCAGTTTGGTGGCCCAGAACCAGGTGAGCATGGCATAGAGTGTGGCCAGTGCCTCCCATGTATGGTCTGCAGACTCACTGCCCAGGCCGGACTCTGGCTCCATCCCCACACAATGCTGCCCTATCTGACACTAGGTCCTTTTGAGCTAGGGCCACCTCACTCCAGTGTGACCTGGGTACTTAGACCACTGTTTTCAGGCATAGTCACCTCCCAAGGTCAGGACCCAAAGTATCTCCTAGGGGTCACATTCCAACCACGGCACCCCCTGTTCCAGCCATCATGGGCCAGGGACGGTGGCTGCTTCCAGTCCTCACTGTACTGATTAAGGAGTGCTTCTAAGTGTCGGTACAATGAGAGGAGCTGGCTCCCAGCTTCTCTCCAGGTCCAGTGCACTGTCCTCCAGCTGTCAGCCTGGGTGCTCAGGAGCCCTCAGAGCATCCTCCTTGCCATAGAGCTTTGCAGAAAGAAGAGAGCTGCAAAGGGAATTTGAGAACCCAGGAGATGGGCGAGCTATCCTTTTCCGGGTCCCAGATTTGGGTGTATTTACCCTTCCACTTCAGGATGCTGAGCCCAGGCCATTTACTTAACCTGCCTAAGGTCTTGAAAAATGGAAGCACAGGGTCTGCCATGCCCTAGATATGGTGACTCTAGAGTTGAGAGGCTTCTTGGCCACCAAAGTCCTGTATTAGTGACATGGGGTGTTTCCAGAAGAGTTGGAGGAAGAGTCCCTGCACAAGGCCTAGAAGCCAGCCATGTTTACAGAGGGCTTTGGTCAGTGCTATCTAATGATCATATGACTGCTCAGGCCTGCACATCCATAAAAGCAGGAAGTGGGTTTGTAGTCTTTCTGAGCTGGGAGAAGGAGAAGAATTGGGGAATTTTAGGGGTGATAGCTGAAGTGCATCTTTCTTTTGAGGTGGATCCATATGTTGATGGTTGCATATTAAACACACTGACTGTGTATAAATTATATCTCAGTTTAGCGTTGAAAAGGAAGGGGGTGGGAAGCTAGTCAGAGTAAGGAGGAAGAGCGTGTTTGAGGCCCAGGCTGCTGAACTGGGCACCGGGGCCCATAGTGGAAAGGACAGGGACCAGGAAGGAGGCAGCAGAAAGAGCCAGGACGGATGAGGCACAGGGCCAGGGAAGGAGAGTGGCACCAGGTAACCATGAGGGACAATGCACCTGTCCTCTGTGACCGTGCAGCTGGGTGAGAGGAGAGCCTGTCAGTGAGGGTGCCCTCCACAGATAACAGGTTAGATGCCACGTGGGAACCAGGTGACCAGCCCGGCCTAGGCAGTGCCTTGACTGCTCGGTCACCTTGCTGCTCCCTCACCTGAAATATAACTCACTAATTATGCCAGCAGCACCCCGGAGCCTCGCCAGATACCCAAAATCACAGGGGCAAGAGAGGCAGTGTGGAACACCCACACAGCTCACGCCCTGCTCTTTCTTGCTCCCTCTTCCAGAAAGCCTTCAATGCTCTGTGTCACAGCACGCACTTGTATGGACGGAGGCTGGTTCTGGAATGGGCAGACTCGGAGGTGACCCTGCAGTCCCTACGGAGGAAGACAGCCAGGCATTTCCAAGGTAGGAGTGGCCTGGTTGATTTGAGGCTTCTGGGATTGGGAGCTGAGACAGAGACCACCTGGATAGCTGCCCTCACTTTTGGGTGCAGCCCCGAGGCCTCCTGCTACATTAAGCCACCTTGTACTGGGACAGCCACAGGCACAGGGTCTCATCTTGTCGGCTTTGCGGGCAGGTAGGGCAATGGAGCCAGGCGAGCAAGAAGGGAAAGGCAGTGGCCTTTTCTGTCTATATTATAGTCTTCGATTCAGGTTCCCAAAAAACCTGCCTCAAGCCCAGGAATGCCACCAATGGGTCCTGGCAGCTGGCCCTAGGAACCACTGTCAATGTGCCTTTCTTGAGGGCTCTGTACTTCCTGCTGGAGCTCTGTACTCACAGAGCTGACTCATCATCTGTTATGTTCCTCCTGAAGCTTGCTGTCCTCATACTTGGAACACCATAGTGACTAAGCAGGGTCATGGACACAGGTAAACAGGGTAGCCACTTCCCTTCATGGGTAGCCTAGGCCAAGGATCCCCAAAAACTGAGAAACAAAAGGCCCACATTTATGGGCCTTATGCCTAGTGCTGATGGATAGAGGATGTCAGGGAGAGCTGGAAAGGTCTGTGAGTCAGTGTGACCTCTCACTAGGAGGTCAAGGCTTGATCTTGAATCTGGCTTCCTTAAAAGTACCTCCATGATGGACCCCAGGAAGCAGAATGCAGCAGCTACATTGTCTATTGGCTTTAGGTCCATTGGTTGCGTGAGAGTTGCCGGCTGGGAACAGGTCCCCTCCACCTTGCCAGCAAACAGGTTCTGGGCTGGGCTGGGACATTTCTGTATGCAGCCACTGCTGCTGTGATCTAAGAGGTAGGCAGTTTTTTCTTACCTGGTCATCCTTGCATCAGGGCCCTCTGGTGTCCTCCCAGCTCTGAGCTCTGAGGGGTCACTGTTGTCCCCTGAAGGTGTTTATCATGAGCTATCTACAGAGCTGGGATCAGGAGCCAGGGACAGCGGGAGGACCACAAGGGTACATTGCTTGTCCTGGAGGGTTATGAGCAGTCCAGCAAAACTGCCCCTCACACAGAGGCAGATGGTGCCGCTGACCACAGCCAGCAGGCCAAAGCCGTGAAACATGGCCAGACCCTGCTCCTCCACCGGCCTGCCCAGAGCCATGCCTCCTGTCTACCATACTTCCTACAGAGTTCATTGTCCCCCAAGCCTAAAGAGGGCCCTGTACCCTCACACATGCTGTTCTGTATCGATGCAGCACCTTCCTTTCTGTTTCTGCTTGTACTGAGTGGCTTGGACGCACTGTTCAAAGTGCCCATGCTGCTTCCATGCAGCCGTTCCTGCCCTGCCCTGCCCTGCGCTCCAGACGTCAGTCATCACTTGTCTTCTCTGGGCTTCTGTCCCTGCACTTTTTTGCTTTGTTGTTATTGTTGTTATTGTTTGGTTTTGGTTTTGGTTGTTGTTGTTTGGTTTGGGGGGGTTGTTTGGTTGTTGTTTTTTGTTTTTTTTTTTGTTTGTTTGTTTGTTTGTTTGTTTTAAACCTTCTTATGACTTGTTATTCTGGCCAGGCCCAGCCCCGACCCCCATTTGTGGCAACCATGGTGTACTGTGCGCTTGTATCTAGAGTGGTCAGTTCCTATCTGATGCCCCTGTTTAGCTCAGTCCCTAAGTAGTACCAGGCTTTCCATCCAGGGCTGGGAGCATTCCAGCCCAAACAGATGCGAAAAGCGGAAGAAGCAGGAGATTGCGGCACCCTTGGTGTCGGACTCACAACTCAATAAGCTCCCAAGTCCTGATGGGCAGACAGAACCTGTCTTCATCGACAGGCATCGACAGACCCAAATGCACCCGTCGGCAAATGTTTGTGGAAGGTGCTCTCCCGGGATCGAGGCGGGGGGCCCCCGCCTCCCCTGTGGTCACCCCACTAACCAGCCCAGGCCTGCAAGAGTGTGGGCTCAGCACTTCTGCGTTGTGTGGACAGAGGCCCTTTCAATAAATTGAGCTCCAAAGGCTGCATCATCTCCCAGGCAAAAGGATGCAGCAGACGCCAGGCCTTTATAGGTATAGGCTGTCTCCATGGCCGCTCACAGCCACAGGGCCCCACTAGGCAGATACTCAGTGCCTCTCTATCAGTTTCAGATACCCGAAAGCCCCAAAATGGCCACCAGTACTAACCATGCATGGCTATGACACCTGCCAGGCATTGCCCTGCAGGCCCCAGGGCAGGTGCAAGGTTGCCAGGTGTGCAGGTGCCCCAGGAACAGTGCCCCCCCCCTTCACCCTGTGCTGCACGTGTGCACAGCAGCTGAAGTCCTCAGAGCAGGGCTGTGGACCCCGCAGCCTTCCTGGGCCTCCTTTTTCCTCTGCCCTTTTCCCCACTGTGAAAAGCACTGGCTCATTTGTGTCCAAGTCCGCATTGTTCTGAACCTCCAGGGCCCTGGCAGAGCCCAAAGGCAAATGGGACTTGTGCCCAACTCCAGCCTGGGCCCTGACTTCTGCCAGGAAGGTACTCAGACCTCAGGTGGAAGCATAAAGGCTCCCTGAGAGCTGCAGGCCATGCCGTCAAACTTAGGCCCCAGCCACAAGCTTGCTGGAGTTTTAGCGCTGGCCAAAGGCTTGTGATAGCCAGTACAGCCAGGGGAGCGTCACTGCTCCTGCCCTGGGTTCTGCTTCTCTCACAGCCCCACTCCTGATATGGGAGGGATGCTGGAGACAGGAGATTCCTAGGTCAAAGTAGACAGCTTAACTATAGCTCAAACTAATGGTCATAGCTTCTGTTGTCACCACTGTGCCACTCTTCTCCTGTCAGGCCTTGCCAAGACCCAGGCAGAGCTACTGACTGTTGTGTTCTTAATCCTACAAGACTCAAGGAGGTTGATACTTTCATTGACCCAATTAGCAGATCAGAAAACTGAGGCTCAGAGAAGGCAAGTAACTTACTGAGGGGTGCCCAGCTGGACCCATGACAGAGCTGGAACGCAAGCCTAAGCTTTTAGTCACGCCCCTGACCAAGCCTTTGCATCGGCTGATCTGGTCAGCACCCTTATGTCTGATTCATTATGTGTATGTGTGTGTGTCTCTCCTACTAGCCACTTTGTGGCCCTGATGAGACGCAGCCTCGGCTTTGCCCTCTGTACAGTGGACATAGGGTGCTGTCGCCCTAGAGGCCCGTGGCACTGAGGAGATAACATCTGGCCACTCTCCTGGGCTCAGGCTAGTGGACTGAAGAGGCTGTAATTGGACAAAGAAGAGGGAGAGCCTGGTGCTCTTGAGTCTCCAGCCAGGGCACAGGGCCTGGCACATAGGAGGAGGTGCCCCCGGCTCAGCCCACTGCAGGCTTTCCACTTACTGGTGTCCAAAGGAGCTTTGCTCTAACCTCCACTCCCTTGCCTGTTCCATGGGGCATCCCTCGTGCTGTCCGCAGTTCCTGGGTGATGGGAGCGTACCACAGTGTCCCTTGCTAGCTCGTGCTTGGGAGGCACCTGGCAAGCCCACAGTACAGGCCAGGCCTCTGGGAAAAGTCAGAGTCAGCAGACACCCCAGTGCCAGACAGGTGCCTTTGGAAGGGGGGGACTGCTGTTCTCTCTTTTGGTTCCCTGCTTCTATTCTTTTCTCTCCTGTCCTCTCACCATCCCACCCCCAACCCAAAACACACCCCCGGACTATTCCAATCTGATCTTCTCCTGACTTCCATCCCTCCAACTCCCGCCCTCCCCTTGCTGTCGCCTCCCGCCCCCTCCATGGTGAGGAATCAGATATTTGGTCTCCAGCCCCTGGCCCTGTAGTAGGTGAAGTGGTATTCTTCTCTGCCTGGCGTGTGGGATGTGAAAAGAAGGCACAGGAGGGGAAGAAAGAAGAAAGTCTGTCTCTAGCTGTGTCCCTTTCTTCCTGAGCGTGTTACAAACCAGCAGGGTCACAGCATCTTGAAGCTTTCAGGGCCTGGCAGGCCACAGTCACCACAAGCACAGGCGACAGAATAAAATGGCCTGGAAGCAATCCGCTGCCCAGCCCCATCTTAAGAGCTCACAGCCAGGGAGGCCCAGCGCACGGGCTTTTATTTAGCCGGGAGCGTGGCTCGGCTTCCCTCTGTTGTCTTATTCCAGCTGGGGAGGCCTGATGGGCTGTGGTTAGCGGCTGCAACTTTCACCTCCAGAGTAGGCGTGCAGGCATGAGCAGCATTGCAAGTGGCTGCAGTGATGCAGTCCCTCCACCCGCCACCCGCCTTATCCCCTGCCCGCTGGGCCTGGTGACACCAGCCAGAGCAGAATGTAGACAGAAAGCACACGCAGTAAGAGCCCTCTGGCATAAGTTGGGGTAGCCTTGGTCAGTCAGCCACTGGCCTGGCACTCTGAGCCACCCTCCTAGCCCACAGGGCAGGGACGGAGCCCCAGCCAGACCCCTGTCCCATCAGCCTACCACCTCACCTCCAGCCCTCTTGCATCATTCTTTTCCATACTGCATTTTTCTCCCAGTGCCCTGACCACATGCACATGAACACACACGAACGTATGCACGAATGCAGGCATGCACGGAAGCACGCACACACACGTACATGTACACATCAACAAGCGCGTGCATGCGTGTGTGTGCAAGACCGTCTTTTTTCCCTATTAGCTTAACCCTCCAAGGGACACAGCCTTCTCCCAACGCTCTCACTTTTCCTTGCATCAGGCATAAAGCTGTCTTCATAACTGTGCACAGAGTAATGAATGAGCTCCGTAAGAACCAGTCACGGTTGTGGCTGATGTTCACTGAGCATCTAGCACATTCTGGGCCCTGCATGGCGCCAATTGCAGTCACCTTCACATTAGGTTTAGGCACCAAGGCTCAGCACAGCTGGGTGTGAGCCCAGCACAAAGTTCTTTAGACTTGAAACCTGCAAATAGGCCCTGTTTGGAGCCTGATAGCCTCACCCTGTTCCTCCGCAGCCCTATGAAGTCTTACTAAAGATGAGATCAGCCCCAGGGAAGCCAAGGAGAGCCAAGCTGTTGAGAGCCTTTGTGCAGTAGCAA